GGGGGGGGCTCAGTGATAACCATCACCATTATTCTTGTAGGATTGTGCTGTTTGCTCATAGTTCAGTGTTCTCTCACAGACACCATCTTTGGTGAAATTTATAATAAATGAAATGTGAATGAAGCAGCAGGGATAATTTAAAAATTGCATGTGTTAATATGCAGTTAAACTGAGCTCTTGAGTAGAACCGTGCAGTTTTGGCTAATGGACTCCAAAAAGTGTGTCAACAGTGCCACCAAATGGAAGGGCTTAAAACCTTCTAAGGGCTTGTTGCAYGGAGAAGCCACTTTCTGCTGTTTGCTGTGTATCGTTGTTAGGAAACCTGATGGGTGGAAGGAGTTTCCTCAGCACGACATTCAACAGRTTTCTCTTTATTCACCTCTTAAATTGGAAAAGACAAACTACCAGGTAAATGTTAGGTCAGAAACTTTATGGATGACAATWTCTCAGTTGCAACAGGTACTATAAACAGATGTCTCAAAACAAWACAGTTTTGTGCATGACATGGTATATAATGTGAACATAATACATCATAAAAACATTGCYTTGCTGTCACCACCTTTTTAAATAGCTGATTATCACCTTCAGCTGAAAGTGAAGCAATGTTTTTGCCTTCCTTGTGCTTGTCTGTTTTCTGCACCTTTTTCTCACAAACCACCAGACATAGTCTGGTAAAACTTTGAGAACCTAAATGAACATTCATAACMGATTCAGTTTTGGAGTTAGTTTGATTCAAGATGGCTTCCACAGAGAAGCAATCATTACAAACACCAAAATGACTGTATCTTGAGTARATTTACAGATATTGAGCTAAAATGTAGTGTGGTAGAAGCTCCACCTTATCACCTGAWTGTTGACTGATCATGTGAGATCTCTGTTTAAAATGATGCCARTAACTACCATAATCAACTTTTTCTGTTTGTTAGCAAAACATTTCATCAACAATTCATAAGAAAAAGTAAATCCTAGAAGCGAACATGTACAAAAGTTGGAGTCAACCCAATTCAAGATGGCTGCCACAGATGATCAACACCAGACTCTTGAATGGCTAAATCTTAGAAGATTTGCTAAAATTTGGCATGGTAGTAGCTGAGAGTCATTCATAACACATACTTCAGGCACTATATTATGCAAGATATTGCAGCATAATCTTATTATTATTATTATTATTTGATTTAACCAAATGGCTACAACTCCTTGTTTAACGCAGGGTGATCTCTGGCTTGAAAGGCAAAAGGCGGTATGCATTTTTTTCCAAGAAATGCCTGGCCCTTAATTTTAACAAACCCTTTATTGGGGTTTTTTAATGTCTCAAGTAAGTGAAGTCTCATTTGTCAGTGATTTCCACATCAGGGCTGAAGGTTCCACCAAAAAGGGGCACCACCAGCCACAAAGTCCACTTTGAAGCACTCGCCGGTTTCCAAACTGGTTGCGGGCCAGCCGAGTTCAGATCAAACACGTCAGACCGGAGGGTCACGTAGAGGAGTTCACCTGGTGCTCCGCCTCAGGCTCTCCACGGTCTGCAGGAACGAGCGCAGGGCCTGGTCCTCCTCCAGGGTGGAGCAGTCCTCCTCCTCCTCCTCGATGATGCCGCACTGCACGCAGCGGAGGCGGGGCTCGCGCTGCCCGGCCCTGCAGACGCAGGCCGTGGCCAGAGGCTGGGGGAACTCCTCCATCACCAAAGGCAGCAGGTGGGCAGGGAGAGTTTCCATGCTGGTTGCCATCRGAGAACAGAGGCCCCGGATGGGAGGAGGATGAGCTGTAGACACCAGTGAAGAAGCAGTGGAGGATGAACGAATTTGCAACGTTGCTTCAAAAAGGGGAAAAAATAAATGTCGTATCTGATCAGCTGCCTCGGCTGTTCTGGGACTGATGATGCAAAAATTGACAAAAAGTTGTAACAGTGTGATATAATCAATGAGAGCTGTTGAAAACGGTCCCCCAGGGTTCTGCTTGATAGGACGCCTTGAGAGATCCTGTCGAGCGCCTTTTCCAATTTGTTTGTGGCTTTGAAAACACAGAAAAGTGTGGAACAAGTCTGAGCAAGCCGCTGAGTTTCAGCACCACTGAGCTCGTCTTTATATACAACTGCGCGGCCCACTCACTTCTTCCTTTGGGCATCCCTCCACGCACAGAGCTCCTCTACCCTCCCACATTCTCACTGATGACACATTTCCGCAGTTTCCATACCAGTGCACCGGAATAACCTCCCAGAAACTGTTGGCATGGGAACCGGATGGGGATGTTTGGGAGAGAAGAGGCAGAGCAGTGAAAAGGCAACACATTAATATGGACTGTGAAAATTATGACTAATGGTACAATTAATCCAGAGAGCTATGTGAGCTGATTGTTGAGTCTTAGGAGAATATTAGAAAAACACCCTAGCAGAATGCCTATAAGACAGACTGAAGCTAAAATGCAGGATCAAACATAAACAATTTGAGCAAAATATATCAATATAACTTGACTTCTTGTGCAGAACTTCAAAATAAGATTTAACAGTCTAAAAGGACTTGCAACCTGTCCAAAGTGTACCCCGCCTCTCGCACAGTGRCTGCTGGATATGAGCACCAGTGATTCCTGTGAGCCGAAAGAAGAAGTGGGTAAAGCTAACTGATAGATTTACAGTGCTATCAAAATGTATTTACCCCTTTTTATCACATTTGGATCATCAAACTAATGCTAATATCAGATAAAGTTAACCCAAGTTTGTTTGTTTTTTAGATATGTATATTTATTTAATTTGTCAAGCAGGGGGGAAAAGCTACAAGCTACAAGCCAAACTGGTCCTACGTGAAAAAGTAAAAGCCCCTCAAACCCAATAACCAGTTGTAACACTCATGGCAGCAACAACTGCAGTCAAGTGTGTAATCCTAATAAATGGCTGTTCCATTAAGATGCAAGCCCCGCCCACTCAGCGAGCGAGGGAGGCCAGAGGAGAGACTTCAGCATTGTGGGCCACAGCTCTCCAGCCTCGCTCCAACCTGTTTTTGTCACATTGTGTGTTAGTTGTTCTTGAGTCTGAGAGTTGTCGGCCCCCTTTTCCCAGTTTTTGGTTGCCGGGTCAGAACCAGAACCGCAGCTGCTGGCTGGTTTGGGGGTACTCCCTTTATGTTTTTATTTATTTATTTTGGCCGGAGCTCCCAGTTCTCTTTGTTCAATGGCTTTTATTAATAATAAAACATTTGTTTAAATGTTAAAACTGTCTGGACTCTGTTATGTCCGGAGTAACCGGAGTAATAGACACTTGGACCATGCCAAGCACAACTCCATGAACAAGTCTTTGGTAAAGAGCAGAATTCTTGTTTTCATCGATACATGGCAAGTCTTCCAAGTCTTGAAGGAAAAAGCAACTCCAGACCATCACACTATACACCACAATTGACTATACTGTTAAGATGTTCTTTTTCTGAAATGCCGTTTTGTGTCAGTGGTCTACAAAAATATATATTTTTTTCCAAAAGTCTTGAAGATCATGAAGATTTGTCAAATGTGAGGCAAGCCTTTGCATTTTTAGTCAGCACTGGTTTTGTCATTGGGTCTCTTTAAGCCCTTTGTCTCTTTTTTTTTTTTTAGTTGAATCTTGCACACTAATGTTAACTGAGGCGAGCAAGGCCTGCAGGGTTTTGCTGGGACCTCYCAGATGAGAATTCAGTGCAGTCTTGGAGATGTTTGGATCAGCTGGCCACTCCTGGGAAGGTTCTCCACTGGTCCGTGTTTTCTGTTTGTGGATAATAGCTCCAAGAGACTTCCTGGTTCTATAAATCTGGCAGGACTGATTCCTGGGTGTGGCTAGTGAAATTAAACACAGCTTTCCATAAAAAAAGGTTAATCACAGTCAAAAATTAAGATTTAAGAAAGAGGCAAYTATTTMTTCACATAAGGCCAGTTTTTTCATRTCTAATATTAATATTTKTTAGTTAAGTTTAGCCAGGTAACTTGAGCAATTTGCCTGGCCTACAATTCCATAGAATTACATAAGCTGCTGCTCTTTTCTCTAAAACCTAGTGACATGAAACTGTGACAATGAAGTACATGTACACATACCCTTCTGCAGCTGAACGCCTTTAAAACCAATATGATGATGGTGGATTTCAAAAAGAATAAACCTCATCTATAGTCAGTGTCTATCAAAGTCGTTGACGTGGAYCTAATCACATTTACAGTAAATATCTGGATCTGCAGCTGGTTGACAAACTGAATTGGTTTGTGCACATGGAGACACTCCACAGGTAAGAACTAGGACATCTGTAATTTCAGAGGAAACCTTGACATCTGCWGTAAACTGCTGCCCCTCTTCTATACTGCCGTGTGCTGGAGAGGAAACAGCAAGACGTAACAAGACCAGACAGACTTGTGAGAAGGGCTGGGTCTGAGAACGTAGAGCTTAAAGGAGGACCCTGAGGAAGCTGCTGGCCATACTGGACCCAGCAGCAACTGCAGAGAACCATCATCAGGCTGAAGAGTGTGTTCAGTGACAGACTGCTGTCACTACAGTGCTCTGGTTCATTTGGCTGTGTAACACCACCCAGCTGTTAAAAGTCTACCAGTCTATTAAGACTGCAGCAAGGCAGGCAGCATAGAAGATGAGCATTTAACTGGTGAGTTGAATTAATGCCATGATGCCACTGAATCTTTTAATATTTCCCTTGTATAAAAGCAAATATTGTTACCTGAACACAAAAACAAAGCTTTGGAAATTCACTTTCCAGTTTTGAATGGACAAAACTTTTTGGATGGGAGCATCTTCAACATCTTCAACTACAGAATAAATGTCCACTTTCTTTTTTTGGTTGTTTACTTTTTAGTTTCAACATGTCCTAGATAGCCTGGCCCTTGCCTTCCTACGCAGTTCCGCTCAATTCTAGTTTCCCTTCACTGCTCCTCGTACAGCAAAGTGAAGGACAGGGTCTGGTTTTTACCAGGCTATGTCCAAGATGATTGAGAATTCACATCAGCCAACTGAACACAGTCTAAAGTAAACACGACTGAAAAAAAAATATTTGAAAAGCAAATTTATTGATGCAAGGAATTAACTGATTTCTATATCTGTCTGTCAACCATTCAAGTTAATCCAAACAACACAAAGTTGAAGAGATGAACGTAACCAGTTAGTGCATTTTGGTTATTCTGAATATTACACATCTGACAGCAAGTTAAAGCCAAAAAACAGACAAGTATGACACTAAGAGCAAACAAACTAGAGTTTCTAGAAAAGAACAATGAAATGTATGACAAAAGCTTTTTTATGATGGTGGGTTGAGGGGTATCAATTAATTCTGTCACCCATGCATAAAGAAACCATCAAATCATTTCAAAAGCCAACCTAATTTCAGAAAGATAAAATACAACATTTCTGAGCACCGTTGCTGATATGAGAGGAATACATTTTAGGCTGTGATCTAAAAACACTTATATTTGACTACATTTTCTACTTAAACTGAATTGCTTTATTTATTTTTTTTTTTGCATTTAAAATGTGTGGTTCAATTACAGATGCAGTTCTCTCACAAACATTTACTGCTGGAAACATATTCAATTGACAATTTGACGTTAATGTTTCAAATAATATTTTTTAATATAGACATAAAATAACAAAYGTAGTTATGAAAGGTTAGGATTTATTAACCAAAACTGATTTCTRTCTTTTGAGTTCTGGTAACTCATTAAGTACTTGCAAAAGCAAGTTTCACTTTCAGTGTTTAATCAAAACTGCTTTGAGCTACACCCGCAGGAGCCACAAACACATGTTCAGAGACACAAAGAAATCCAACTTTTCATCTTCTCTTCTTCCTGAAAGCATAATTTCTCTTCACGTTTTGCTAGCCAGATGGTCAGTTTTTGGAGTTGGTTTTAGTTCCCGTGTTTAATTAAAGCTGTGTACTCAACAACAACAACAACAAAAAAGCACCAATTGGTCCAATAGTTTCTACACAAATGTTTGGTTTGAACACATGTAATATGCTAACAGACTTGCTCACATCATCTATCACTTTTGGAAAGGAGGGAAAAACCGATGTTGCCCAGAAAATGTCACTTTTTCTTTGCTTGGTCCGTGATGATGATGGTAGTTGGACGAGTCATTAACACAGCTGGTCCCCTCTCTGACTGTCTCTGTGGCTCCCGGCAGCCGACGATCCATCTAGCCCTGCTTCTGCTTCTTGAGGTAACGAGCGCGCTGGGACAGAACCATCCCCATCGTGTAGCTGTTGAGCATGTTGGCTGGGAGCAGAGCTGTAGTCACCCAACCCTACAGAGGGAAATTACATGGTCATCTGGTGGCATTTACAAATAACAGATTAGCATTTATTATTAATCGCCAACCCACAGGAGCAACAACTGTGGCARGCTTGTTTGTACAAAGCACATTTCAAGCAACAGTGCCATTCTAATGCAGACGCCCTTTTAAAATTATCCTTGGCCTTTTTTTTGTTTGATTACTACCATAAAACTCAAAAGTCCTACTTTCAACTGCATTTAAAACAATTTTTGTGCTCTCAAAAACAATATACATAATCCCATCTTTCTCCCCTTATACAGCCAGATGGTGTATATCTCTAGGGTTCATGGATAAATCTACTTCATTCGCAAATAATTTAAATACGGAACATTAGCAGCCTGTTCAAATCTCAGTAACAAAAATCTCTTCGACTTCAGCCACAAAGTCAGGTGACTCAGCTTTAACTTCACAACCTCGCTGATCACAGTGGAAGCCAAAGATTCAGTTTGAGAATTAGGTCCTCTTTGTAAACGACAGGCAGATTTATGGAGCGTTGTCAGTGGGTCTTTCACAGCCTCACTGAAAAGATAATGAACTCATTTCAGAACCATCTCGAGAGCTTAGAAGAAAGTATGCGATTAATGCTGCTCATCTGTTTGTTGGCTTGATTATGCAAATAAAAAAAGAAAAACAGCMAAGTTTAATGTTGTGAAACAACGTAAGCTGGATGTTGATGCAGCAGTCAAATAGGAGCTGATAATATTGGGTTGCAACACAACACCCAATATAAAAATCTATACTTTTACAGACACAGAGTTCCCCTTTTTTCAGTTAGTTGTTGGGTATGTTCTTCATGACTAACCATAAACATTCATGCAGATTCTGAAACACAGTTCAGCTATTTTGAAGTTGGGTTCTGTGTAAAAGTTACGCGCTAATATTAGGTTATCCTGCCRGTTGCAGAAAGCTCTTTGAATKACCTTAGGTTGGAGTTTTAATCATGACAGTATTGACAAGCTAATAATTAGACTGAGCATGACCATGATGGACGTGTGCCACGGTAAAACAATTCCAATCTCATGCATTTCATAACAGGTAAAGCAAAATCTAATTTATAAACTTTCACACTGCTGTTCTTACTTTGTCAGTAAGAAAACAACACTTTTTTTCTGTTAGACGTGCTGYACAACCACCAAATTTTATATCTCTTATAATACAAAATTAGCAGCTGTGTAAACAGAAGTAGAGCCAGAGGTGTGGCAAGGGGCTCTGGCACCTGATTGGCCACGCCAGGTGCCACCTCAAAATAAATGACAAGTAGGTGGGAATTTTGTATTTTGTTTTTGCATTTCAGTTTAATGCAAGCTTGTTCTCTGACACAACTGTACTCAATAAAACTTTTAGCTTTTCTCAGCTACTTCTACATTAATATCCAGCTTTGTATGTCTAAAAAAATGGCTGAATTGAAAGTTGTGACTAGCATTCAGCATTTTTTTTGTTTGTTTTTTGTATCATTTTTAGCTATGATCACACATTTCAGCTTGATGTTTCTTAAAACATATAAATTAAAACCATTTGGAATTAGCTGTGGTTGCCATCTTTATTATTTTTTAATGCAGAGTGCTTTTCTTTATTTTTATGTGCCCTCTAAAAAAAAAAAAAAAAACCACCTTGGCCACCCCTGTGCCACATCTTGCAAAAAAGGTCTAGCTACGCACCTGTGTGTGAAGGTTTTTATAACAGCTTTTGCATGAACACTATTCGTTTTAGAGCCTAAAGCTGATATAAGATGGCGGTAATCAAGTTTCGTCTTAGCTGTGTTCAGACAAGCCATGAGCTTAGTCCTACAACTCTGTTTTTCTAAACTCAGGTTGGTCAGAAGTGAAATCCTAGGATGACACTGTGTGCTAATGTCACTTTTCACTATCAGTTTGATGCTTCTGGAACTTCCCTTCCCTTAATGAATCTTCCCAAAGGATCATTAAAGTTATATCTAATCTAAAACTTATTGCATGCTTTAGGGTTATCTGACAAGTTGCATACAATTTAAAATAGGAAAAAATATTAGCACTCATGAAAATTTTTATTCCACAAAGTGTTTTACAAAATATTTCTATTTCACCGGCCGCCATGCAAGCTGACATTGGGAGTAATCAAGTTTGTGCTTTGTTCAAAAAATAAAATAAAACRAAAAACATAAAAAACTCCATGTCTGAGCAAATTACTTTTTTTATTTTTTAAGAAATTTGGCTTTTTAACTCTCAGAAAAAGAATCGGGGAGTCTGCAAATTCAAATGCGCATTGAAAACAAGTTTAATTTTTGTTCTTCTTATTTTCATTTGTTTTCCTCCTTGTTTAAATCCTGGATATGTCAATCAGCTGTTCGACGTATGAACAAATTTATTCCAGCGCGTCAACGACAGAATGCGACATCCAACTAAAAGTTTTAGCATGAACACTTGGGTAAATCTGAGCTTCCGTGCCGAATCAGAGAACACCAATTCCACTTGTCTCTTTAACCGTTTAAGCTTTTTATTTCAGCTTTTTATTTCAGCTCTTTTACTCTAGCATTGAAGTTGTTCCCCTAAAGAGAAACGAGCTTCAGCAAATTTATCAGAGCAGATGTTTTTAATTTTTMCAGAAAGTTGCAGATTGCAGCTTTACATGAAATTAAATTAGAAAAGAGGCAAAGCGAGGCTTTAAACTGTGAAACGTGAAGAGCTTTGCCACACAAGTGAACAGAGAGGGATTATCAGATAATCACAGCAACATGACTTGCCTGCTGCTCGTGGCTTTGTGAGCTAAAGCCAGACAACATCTGTGCTGAACTTATGCACAAAAACCGGACTGCTCAGGATTAATAACAGCTATTTATTTTGAACGTGATTTATTGACCACCAGTGTGCTGTAATAAATTGTGTTGTTATACAAATGTAAAATCAATGAACATGATTGTTGATATTTAGGTCACAAAGTCCACTGCTGTCCAATATAGCCTGGATGAACAGGCAAGAGAAAAACAACATTGACTTTTTTGTCTCTTGATAAATGAAGGCAGCCATCAGAACAAAACAGACCAGAATTTGAGTTCCCATCTCCTTTTTGTTAAGACATTACTAGGATTCAAATGTCACTGGAAGCCAGTRGAGCATCCTACTTCATTACTTCAGAGGATCCTTACTTTTTGAGCCAGATGCTTATTGTAGCTGTGGAAACAACATTACTTCAATGAGTGGAGCTGAACTGATAAATGCTCTTTTGTAGAAAGTGATACTAAAGCCTTTTCTTGCTGTTGCCATGGCATGTATTTACCTGAGCGTTTAGGGTGCACCAGGTTCACTACTTTCTCAGGAACCTTTAGTCTTAAAACTGTGTAACTTATTTGCTGCACTTGTTCTTCAATTTATTTTTAATGACATTCAAGCTGCATGGGGAACATTTAGTTGTTCATTTTGGTTATATAATTGGACTACAATACAGGGGTAGTTTTCTTTTTTAATTATAGCTTAATGATGCATATTCACATGATGCATAGACTATTTAATCCATTTAAGACAAAAATAACATCTTCACATTTAGAGTTTCTTTGGTTAAACTGAACTATATAAAATAGTGACGTTTTAAAACATTTAAGCCAGTAGGTGTCCAGATATGTTGAAAAGCAGGTGTGCACTMAATGTAAACAAAACATTTGGCTGAATTTGATGAAAACCACATGGAAGCTTGAGTCATGTGATTGAGCCAGATTAGGTCAGCTGTAGTCTGTGTCGGTAAACAAATATGGTGAAATTAGGACAAATCACGAAGAAGAGGTTTCGTTGAACATGTCTGCTATTAAATTACAGAAGATGGCACCTGATTTCAAGCTGCAGGAGCAGCCTTTCACAGACAAATGTGTGTCATCTGTCATGTTTTCCAGATAAATCTGATTAAATACACTTGTTTTCGAGACCACTTCTATTTAGATTGTTTTAAAAACCTACCTGCATACTTTACTTAACAAATCAGAGTGTAAATCTGTACTAATACATAATAACTGTTTTAATCCTGAACAGCTCTGTCATGAATGAGCTTGCTAGAAAAGAATGGAAAGGAAAGGAAAGGAAAGGAAAGGAAAAGAAAGGAAAGGAAAGGAGAAAAAAGAAAAAGGAAAAAAGGAAAGGAAAGAAGAAAATGGTAAGGAAAGGAGAAAAAAGGAAAGGAAAGGAAAAAAGGAAAGGAGAGGAAAAGAAAAAAGGAATGAAAAAAGGAAAGGAAATGAAAGGAAAAAAGGAAAGAATGAAAAAAGGAAAGGAAAGGAAAAAAAGGGAAAAAACAGAAAGGAAAGGAAATTATAGGAGAAAAAAGGAAAGGAAAAAGGAAAGGACAAAAGGAAAGGAAAGGAAAAAAAGGAAAGGAAAGGAAAGGAAAGGACAGGAAAGGACAGGAAAGGAAAGGAAAGGAAAGGAAAGGAAAGGACAGGAAAGGAAAGGAAAGGAAAGGACAGGAAAGGAAAGGAAAGGAAAGGAAAGGAAAGGAAAGGAAAGGACAGGAAAGGAAAGGAAAGGAAAGGANAGGAAAGGAAAGGAAAGGAAAGGACAGGAAAGGAAAGGAAAGGAAAGGAAAGGAAAGGAAAGGAAAAGACAAATCCAGAAGGTAAAGGATTTTTGGCACTTTTGGAAATGGACTCTCTCTAAAATAGCCTTTTAGACAAACAAATTAAATTGCCCTAGTAACTAATTATTTATTGCTGTAGGAAAATTAAAACTAAGTGTCAATAGTAGGAATTGTGTGCCTTTTTTTTTTTTTTTTTTTACAATTTAAGAGTATATTTTCTCAGAGTGTGATGCTTGCTTCTGTTTCACATTCTCAGGCCTACCATAAGGGCGTGTGGCAGGTAGCCATTGGTCTGTGTCTGCAGTCCCACAGTGTTGAGCTCAGCTGCAACGTATCGCTCTGGACTGGGCTTGTCCAGCGTGGCCCGGCGGATTTTACTCATCTTGGTTGCAACAAAAAATGGCAAAACGCTCTAGGAAGTAAAAAATAAAYAAAATWAAATWAAATTAAATTACACATAAGAGTTATCTGTGACAAAGCAGGATTTTTTTGATCAAGCGTTTTTTTAAAGCCTTTGCTTCTACAAACATCATCAACCAAACATACTTGTAGCAGAATCTCTAAGACTGAAGCTAAATTTACCTGAATGATGATCCCTTTGCTTTTATACTCAGCTTGCAGTCCTTGTGAAAAGAAGTCCACAAACGCCTATTTTAAGAAGAAAAAAAACTGATTAGTAAGGTCATATCACTCAAAACATAAAGTTCTCAAAGGAATGCTATTCATATATTTAGCACAAGCAGTCAAAATCTGTGGAATCTATTTCCTTTTCTGTGTTTACTGAATACACCATTTGTAAAAGTAAACAGCCAAACTCACAAAAACTGGTATATTTTGACACTATATTCACTGCACAGGCATTATTAGACCAAAACTGTTCAAGTGCATTTTTTTTTTCATATTCAAGAAATGCAACAGAAAAAAAGCCCACAACTTATTGCAACATGCAAGTAAATGTCCACATTATCGATTAGGTTTTGCCTCAGTCTGTGTTGGTCAATGAGAACGAATAATTCATAAGACAAAAGCAAAGATGGATTTCTCYTCAAAGCAGTGTATGTTAACAGAAATTGTTTATGGAGCTGGGGTGCACCTACACGTATCCCTTCAAGTAACACTTGATGAGAAGGTCATACACCGTGTAGTGCAAATACCTTGGAGGCAGAATAGACAGTGAGGAGAGGAACAGGATACATCCCACTGGCAGATGAGATGTTGAGGATGGCCCCCTTCTTCCTGGAAACCAGATGGAAAAAAAGGGGTAAAAAAAGTTATTTTACATCAGACAGAACCAGACTCTGGCAGAGAAAAAAGGGGCAACAGCCACTTCAGCCTGAAATCAATCTGAGCAAGATAAAAGAATATGGTAGTGCATGTACTTGCATGCTGAGCCAAAGCTGCACTCGTAGTGCATCAAAGTAGAGCTGGTGGATAATGATAAGATCAAAGATACAGCAACATCAATACTTAAATGTTTACAATCTGATGACATTTTTGCTTCAGCCTGTGGAGACTTCAGCCAGCATTTTCATTTTTTCCCCCTTTTTTATGGGGGGGCAGTATGAATGTTATTTTTCAGGAGGGATGAAAAAGTGTTTTTTATTATGTTGGGCAGTTTGAAGGAAACAACCCCCAGAGTTATTCTCTGATATTAGATCACAACAGCCCCTATCCTTCTAATGTAATATGAGGAAATTAACTACGATACTGCAAAAAATATTCTCAAGCAGGAACTTATTTACTTCATTTTCAGTCCAAACCAAATTTTATTTGGAACACAAAGGCATCAAAATAGTATTAAAAAAAACAAGGGTTGTTGTTTTCCAATCTACCTTATTCGAGATGGTTTTCTGTTTGACAATCATTACTGCTGTTTCTTTTAAAAACAAACAAAAAAATAATAAAAAAAAAACCTGAAACATCAAACCATCTTATCTTCCTAGCTTGTGTACTGTCTGAAACTTTTGTCTCCCCCTCTTGGTAGCAGTAGAAATCACAGAAAAAAGCCTTTAATGTCATATTTAAGATGCTCTGAATCGCTCCAGTCAGTTCTTTAACTAATTAACGCCAACACATCGGTGCATCCATGTTAGCACAGGAATAAAATGACAAATGAAAGCTCAAAACTTGATGTTGTTGGACATTTAKTCACATGATGCCAGCATGTTTATTCCCTTTGATGGTGGCTTGAGCCTGTACGTAGTTGACATTCATTTACATTCATATGCGCTCTACTTTTGATGCATATTATAACTTCTTTTTTTTAGGACTTTGAGAAAGCTAAACATTGCTTCACTCTTCTTTTATAAAACAATTTCCTACAAAAAAACTAGAATCTTATATCTAGTTTCCATCTCTATCATTAAAAATGAAGTCTAGAGAGAGGGAAAAAGACACACTCAGTATTGTCAAACCTTGTTTTTTCCCTTGCTAAAGGTAAAGCGGTAATAACGTCTTTGAAACTTTCAGAAAACATTTGTTGGGTGTACATCCGAAGTTGAATAACATTTGCACTCCAATGCAAAATGTGTTTTTTTTGGTAAAACATCTCACAAGATCCCACAATACTGCATAATACCATGAAAAATCCTGAGTCATTTTCTAACTCAAACATAAAAAGGAGGTGAGCAAGATGCTCAATGAATGCTAAGATTTTAGTTCTGTTTTCTCCCTCGTTTTAGTGGTGATATACTGTATATTTCTACACATCTGTAAGTTTAAATACTCATAATACAGTGAACCCCTTGGTCTCACAAACTCACCTGGCCACCATTTGAGGCAAGACTAGACGTGTCATCTGGAAAAATGACAAAAATCCAAAAATTGAGAGATACAGAATAAAAGTCACTATCAGGAAAAAAAATACATGGTTATAGTGGGTAGTTTGTGTGTGAATRTGCTCCTCCACATTTGCAAACATGCATGCGTGTGGGAGGTGTGTGAAGAGGTGGACATAGAAGCAAGACAAAGACAAAGAGGAAATGTTAATGATAGCAGAGGGAACCATTTGAAAAAAATACTGAATAACCTAAATTAAGTGTTAAAAGAGTGGGTGGACTTTAGCTGCTGCTCTGGGAGCTGTACTTTCTATGCTATATGCTAAACAATTGTTGTTCTACATGTGTGTATGTGTATTTGTTAACTTCTTATGATCATTTTTGAATACACACCTACCTCGTCAAGATCAGTGGTCCTTATAGGGACCAAAGACTGGTCCTAATATGGCGGAATTCCATTTTTGGGTGGGGAGTTAGGTTTAGGACTAAGGTGTGAATGGAGTTTAGGCTAGATTTTGGGTCAGGTATTTACTGAGGTAGTTAGGTTAGGGTAAAGGGTCATGGTCAAGCTTTAGAAACAACTAGAAATGTATAAGGAGATAAATAAAACTTTTTGTGTGTGTAGGCACATTGGGCCTCATGCAAGAACCGTTCGTACAGTTGTGGTCAAAAGTTTACATACACTTGTAAAAAAACATAATGTTATGGCTGTCTTGAGTTTTCAATAAGTTCTACAACTCTTATTTTTCTGTGATAGAGTGATCGGAACACAA